GCCCTCAGCGGGACAGCTTTGCTCCGCGTCTCTCTGGTCTGCTGTGGGGGCTCCCCCCCCAGCAGACTAGGGAGACGTGGAGCAGCTTTTCTCGCCCCGGAGGACGGGGGCAGCGGGACTGCAGCGCATCTGGGCGTCCCGCCACTCCAGTCCTCCGGGGCGAGAAAAGCCCCGTTCGTAACTGCGGATCCGACATAAGTCGGATCCGCGTAACTCAGGGACTGCCTGTAATCAATATAATGGTTTTCTGTTGATATGCATTTTAGCATTTAAATTCCTGGACTGTCGTTGCTTATTAAAAGTGCTATCGTGGGTTGGGCAATATGGGTGGAAATATGTCAGGGGTGGGCAGTGTGAGTGGAAATCGGGTAAATATTGCATTTTATTAATATTAGCAGAACCGACTTAAATGGGGTCTCTGTGTTGTGTAGTCTTGACTTAATCTTTGTATTCATGCCCGTCAGTGTGAAATAAGCTATTTGCATATATATGCAACCATGCTGAAGTTGCAGCCCTTGGCATGTGCTGTGAGTATTATTGTGGCCCCTGGGGCTTCCAAAGTTGAGTAGACCTGATCTACTCTTATCTTCCTTTCTACATACAGAATCATAAACATCAGACTGACAGGAATTTGTTTGAGAAATGTAGGGACAGCTGAGAGATGTGTGGAATCTAGAAAGGAGATTAGAACTCAGCCTTAAAGCAGAATGGCTTCTTGAATCTGTGATGCCTGTAACTTGATCCATGTACTCTTATGACCATGTGGAATCCCACTATTACCAGTAGAGCTCTACATTGGGACAGAGAGAGAGGGACTCTCACCTTCATGCTGTAGCTCCAGGGGGTAGCTGAGTTAGACTGTACAGGATAAACTTGAAAACACAAAAACTGGTCTGGTAGCACTTTATAGACTAACAAAATATGTAGATGGTATCATGAGCTTTCGTGGGCACAGCCCACTTCTTCAGATGACCACCCTCATTCTCAGTGATTTCAGTTTCCAAGATGACATCTTTTCTGCCCTCTATTTAGCCTTCTCTCTCTTTGCACCTTCTATTTAGACCTTCAGGTCTGGATCTCCATTTTTCCAAACAGTCACTTACTTCAGCTTCTCTTGTTACCAGTGCATCACCTGCCCACTTCCTTTGCCCTACACTGCAACCTGCTTCTTCTGTTTTCCCAATCCGTTCATGTTCAAGCCTTAACATCTCTGTTCTCCCTTTCCTTTTTCGGATCAGTTGTTGGCCTCTTGACTCCTTTACTGTTCTGACTCACTGCAGGGTTCCTTCCTCCTCTTTCTATCCCTTTGAGTACCCTGCCAGTCACCCTTTTGTCCTGATTTCTTGTCACTGAAATGGAGGTTTCTTGTCTGATTTCCTCTTACTTCACAGGGACATCCTCAATGGTAAATGAGGGATTGTAAAAAGTGCCCAGGAAACCTCCTTGTAACACCATTCCTACTTCCTGATTAGGGGGCGAAACAGCTCCTGTATGGGTAGAAGTTAAAAAAACTGGATCTGTTCAATGTAGAAAATATATCACTAAGGGGAGGACATGATACAGATCTATAAAATCATGAATGGCGTGGAGAAAGTGAGCAGGTTAGTGTTAACTACTCCCTCACACAAGAACTAGGGGTTACCCAGTGAAATTAATAGGCAACAGGTTTAAAACAAACATAAGGAAGTACTTCTTCACACAACACACAGTCAGCTCACTGCCAGGGGATGTTGTGAAGACTAAAACTAACTGGATTCACAAAAGAATTTGATAACTTCATGGAGGGTAGGTCATTCAATGGCTGTTAACCAAGATGGACAGGGATGCAGCCCCATGCTTCAGGAACACGTAAACATCTTGCTGCCAGAAACAGGGACTAGATGACGGTGGATGGAGCACTAAAAATTGCACTGTTCTGTTAATTTTCTCCAAAGCTTGAGGGACTGGCTACGGATCAGTTGTGGCAGAATTCTGCCATATTTTACTATGGCTCCAAATGCAACAGTTGCAGAATTCCCCCAGGACTACAGGGGGCTATATCAGGGATGGGCAATAATTTTAGAAGGAGGGGCACTTCACAAATTTCTAAGTGGCCCCAGGCCACCCCAAAAGGGGCAGGACCTCGGGCAGAAGGAGTGGGGCCAGGACACTTCCATGCTACCCTGCCCACAGACCCTGTTTGGCCTGGGTGAAAGTGTGAAGTCTTTGCCACCCTGCTGCCTGGGCCTAGAGAGAACCGCCAGCTGTTCTGAACAGTTGACGGTACTTTCTAGGCGCCATATGCTCTTGGCAGGGAGAGGAGACTTTGTGTGTTTTCCCCATCCCCAGGTCTGGATTGGCATGAGGGTGAGGGAGTGGCAGGGTGTCAGCAGGCCATATCAACCCGTTTGGCGGGCTAGATCCGGCCCACAGAGGCTCTCTTGCCCATCCCTGGGCTACATGGACCAGTATGGACCATTCTTATGTTCTCATATTGCAATATTTTCAGATCCATGCATTCAAATCTCATGAATCAAATGTCCAAAAAATCATGAGTGGCTTAAAAATCAGAAGACCAAATTATCAGAGGGGTAGCCATGTTAGTCTCCCCTCTGATACTTGACACCATGCAAGGCACTACATTTAGCCACGGGACTAGAAGACCAAAAGTAAAACATTTTTTATTCTTTTCATTTATTTTCTGCTGTTGGCACCTTTAGCATTGACATTTTCAAGGGTTCTTTTTCTGCCAAGATTAGTGTAGAAACTAATGTTTAAAACAAATCAAAGGGGAATTTCTGACATAATCACATGAATCCAGAAACTACAGCATGTAGAGACACCAGTGTGACTTGTGAAACTCAGAAGAGTTGTAGTGCTGCAGTTGCCCCTGCTTAATTGTGGCCTCCTCACTGCCCCTATTTTCTTCCCAAAATGTGGAAGTGTGTGTGTGTATACACACACACTCACACACAATATCTTTAACATGAGGTTGCGCTTGTAGGCACTCAGTATTGACTTGTACTCCTCATGCTTGACAGAATGTAAGAGTGCCAAACACTCACGCCTTAGAAGAGCAGGAAGTTGAGAGTTAATATGCACTTCCCACACACCATGGCATAACTGCCAAATCTTAAGCTGGCCC